GATGTTGAGTGTATTACAAGAAAAACTGCAAATTTACGGCGAAACAAAGACAACATCAAAAGAAAAACGTTTCTCTTTGTTAGAAGAAAATGATTACAATTTATTGTTAGAGTCTAAAAGCATTTGAGATCATAATTCAATTTTATTCATGCTCTTTCTATCTTTTTACTTGTATGTATTTAGAGTATACAGATCATATGAAGTTAAAATTCCCTCTTATATAACATGTTATGTTTGTTACTTTCTTTGATCCTAGCACATTATTGCATGTGATTGATAATATTTTGCTTTAAGCAATTTTAAACTAGATAAATTTCTTGTAAAGTAACTTTTTAAATTTGTTGTTGTAGGCATATCGATATTAATAATGTTTGTGTCGTTTTTCATAATAATAAAACAAATTTATTTGCACATATAAATGAAAGATCTATTGAATATAAGCTTCTTTTAACGATAATTATAAAACACATGAATGAGGCTAAGCTAAATGTGTGTCTAAATAATTAATGGCTCTTTTTTTCAATGATTAAATTTGATTAACTGCAAATCTAAATCAATTTGTTTATCTTCATTATGTCAAAAAATACAGACCTTTAAATACAAAGGTATAACTCTTCATTATATTTTTAATTCATTATTTGGTGTGCAAAACAGAAATTAATAAGGATGGATGAAGAAACAATGGCAAGATTTTCTATCTAAATAAAAGTTTTCAATTTTAACTAATCAACATATTTTCTTTTTATATAAAATACAAATAATAATGCATATTTCAACATATATTCAAACCTCGTTATAATGAAGGTGTTTGGGCTATTAGAGAAAAATTTTCAAAATTTCACTATATCGAGAGGTTGACTATCTTTTTTTCAGATTTTTAGATATAATCTGCGAAATTTTTTCTAATTACAAAACAAGTTAATTAATTTTTTATATGTTTAATTATAAAAATTAATTAACTTTTTTGCAATTAGAAAAAATTTCACAGATTATATCTGAAAATCTGAAATATTAATTAGTACAATTGAAAACTTTTATATAGAAAGAAAAACTTTCATTCTACATGTATTATAATTTATTAACCGTTGCATTCCTTTGATTGCCATGGTATATCGAGCTTTTTTCAAGAATGACAAATTTACAATGAAACACGTTAATATCAGATGAAGCTGGCAAGTATAAAATTATACTTTATTGAATTAAATAGTAATTTTTTAGTTTAAAAACATGTTCTAGTGGGTAATAATACCTCATTTCGAGTTAAAGGACAATGACCAAAAACGACTTCTGCTTCCTTGTGTTTTAGATTTATTATTTTAATCATTAAAGTATTACTCAATTACATACATACCTTATCGTTATCACGAGACTGTCAATTAAATGTGTTTCCTAGAGGTCTGAATCACTTCAATTCGAAATCAATTAATCCGCAACTGTATCGGTTTGCTGTTTTTTCTCGCTTCGGATGGATAATTCGAAAAACCGATCACCTGATTATTCAAAATACATGTATCGTATTACCCGATCATTTTTATCATAATAAAATACAAATCACAATGTATTGCAGGGCCAATAAAATGTATGCTCAGGTTTGTCGTAATATAAAGACATGTGCTTAGCATGATGTTAAACGTGATTCGCTTGCTACTTGAATAATTCGGATCCGAATTATCTCGCAAATTTTAATTCAATTATTCCGATTACTTAAATTACTCTTTATTCGATTAAATTTAATAAATAATTACCGATTCGGGCATCTATCTCATGAACATGGGCAAAATAAACGGTAATAATATAAATAAAGTACTATATATTTTTGTCCATAAATTCTTTATAGAGCTTTAATTATATTAACATCCATAAGAATTTCACATAAAAATGACAGTTTACGCCTAAAACATGCATTTGCTATATTAAAAGAGCCTTTTATTATTCACACACAGCAATAGTCATAAAATAATTCTTTCATTCTATTAATGGAAGTCAAATATTAACAAACGATAACGATATATGTCTCTTATCTCATTTATTTTTATGCAAACGGAAGTGAATAGCATCGATATAAATCATCGTTTTTAATAAAACACTGCCATAACGATAATCACTAATAAAATAAACTCAAAGATTTAAAATTTCGAATACCCATGATTGTAGTAAATGTGGTTATTGTCGAAAAAAATTACTACGGGGGTGAGTGTTCAGTTACAATACTCATGATTCTAGTAAATATACTCGTTGTCAAAAAAATGAATCCTGCTATTCGCGTAGTGAATATCACAAACGAATTTGTAAGTCCAATAAAAGTATGCTTAAATATTGACTATAAATTTATGAATGGATCCCTTTTGAAAGATTTACCTACCGGTGTTGAATATCTTGTAAAAGGAAGTTTTGGAGCAATTTGTAAAGCACAATTGCATGATTACAACAGGTAAAAACATGTAGAAAATAAATGTCGATATTGGAATAGATCCCAACATTTTTCAATTAAAAATTTGTACCATTGAGAAACATTGTAGGTCCACTCCGTTAGAGATGTCAATTACAAGACTTTCCGCTAACCGAATGGTCGTTCGCCTGTTACAAGCTCGTACATAATCACCCAAATCTATAAATATCTACAGCTTTAGTGTATGGCTCACATCTAGACTAATGCAAGGAAGTACGCTGTAAGTTGTTTATATTTGCTGGACCGTAAGCCAAAAATCGACAATTTATGCATACTGCTGTATTAATAAATTTCAGGGATAATCCCCATGATATATTAGTCATATACAAATTATCAGGAATCAGATTTATTGGACCCGGAAAATTTGGATACATTCTGATATTGTTGGTAAATCTCACCCTCAATTGATTTTCTCTTCATATAATTTTCTGATCTGCTTTTACTGGACACAATAATTATCTAAACATTCTGCACTGATTAAAGATATCTAATTTTTTGTATATTTATTGTTTTGCCAGGTTGCTCAAGAACTTGTACATTCTTATTGGTTTTGTGATCATCCGAAAGAAAATTTGTTTGTGATGAACTGGGATAGTTTATCTTAGTTATGTTAAAAAAAAGTGCTGGCCAATCTGACACCAACCATCTAATATTTCTCTTAATTATGATGTATAATATTAAATAGAGTTTTAGGTTTAGGGTTTAGATCATTATATGACAGATAAAAGTATAATACATAAAGTTTTGCAAGAAACATTTTTTTTGTTAGAACACAAATAATTGTTTCATAAGTAAAGTTTCAGGATACGAGCTATTTTTCAATACACCATTGCGTTCCTTCCAATTGGAGGCACCAGATTATTGTATTTATTACAATAATCAATTGATCAAGAAACTTTCTGCAACGGGGTGAGAGTTAGACTGAATTATTTACAACTGGAGGGTTTTTCCAGTTATTCTAAAGATTTCCCATGACAATTTGTTCACAAATCAATCTTTTCTTAACAAATAAGGGGAAGAGATATTTGAAAAAGTAGACAGAATATAATCACTCTTATAATAAGAGTCAAATTGTTATAATAAATCTTGTTTATTCAATAATGGTCAATATATTTACAAACATAACAGAACTTATTGACATGATCTATCTAAGTTAATTCGACAAGACGTAATGATATAGCCTATGCAAAAGAAACAAAATTAATTCCACAGAACTTATTGATATGACCTGTTCAAATAAATAAAACCAAAGAAAAACAATAGCTTATTTTAAGTGGAGGAGCATTCACCGAAGTTTAATTAAAATAATAGTATATTCACAAGTAATATTACTACTACAAGTAATATCTATGTTATTTTATTAGATTAAAACATGTCTTCTCAGCGACTGAAGACGCTTCTATATACAATTATTGTGCTAATCTTTCACTAATTCTAAGATTAGTAATTTACAATAATAGCTTTTCTTGAAATAATTGTTTATCATTTTTCAATTGTTTAGATAATTATCAAAATAACTATTTTCTTTTTGTTAATAACTATTATTACTTATTTTTATATTTATCTAATGTTTTCCAATTGTCTATAATTTGTAATAATTATTGTCCTTCCAGTAATCACTATTGTTATGTGTATTAATCTTTGAAGAATAATGGGATATTCAAAATACAAAAAATAGATAATATCCATTCATAATGAAATATTTTCAAATTATAATGTAAATTTTATAAGAGACTAATTATAGAAAAAGTATCATGTAGATTATTATGGGATAATATTCATGTGAAAATTAAGAATCAAAACTATGAATTTAAAGGATTTAATATTACTTCAGTAACAACACATTGATCTTGTGATTTGATTAATACATGATATTAAGAGAGATATCAGATAATCAATATCAGATTAAAATCACATGATTTATCACTTTATTCATCATAATTAGAATATTTGTACATGTAATCAACTATCCCAAGAATGAAAAAAATTCTACTATAATATTATAAGTACAGTCAAACCTCTATATAGCAATGCTTTTATATAATGATATTGGCTTTTAGTGATAAAAATTCTATTTCCTGTTTTTCAATTAAGAAAATATTCTTCATATACTGAAGTTTATTAATAATTACTTTGTATAAGCTATACTGACATTTGTGGTTATCCCATTAATATAAAATAACATCTCAATTAATCAATATTTTTATTATAGCGATAATTTATTAGTATTTATATATAGATTTTTTGGATAATGATATAAATTTTTTATATAAAAAATTGTTGTTGATCACTTTTAACTCTCATGATACAAAGTTTTTTTTCCTATGAATAAACGAAAAGGAAAAGAAGCAGAATTTTTTCAAAAGAAGAGGACATACTTGACGATTTATCAGAAAAAAGAAATTTGTCTTAAGTATCAAGAAACTCCACATCCAACTCAACATCAACTTGGTCTTGAATAAGGATGTAAAGCCAATACCATATAAGATATCATCAAAGAAAGCAACAAATGGCTTAGTATCAACGAAAATTCTTATATCACAAAGAAAAAATGAATCTGAGAGTGTCATTTTCCTGAAATTGATGCAGTACTTGCAATTTGATTTATACAAGCTTTATCTAAAAATATCATAATAACAGGAGAAGTACTTTAGCAAAAAGCACGTGATTTCACCAACGCTTTCGACATTAGTGATGACAATTTCAAAGCATCAGCTGGATGGCTTGAAGGCTTCAAGAAAAGACATTATATCCAAGGATATAATTGATCAGGTGAAGTCAATAGTGCACTACTAGCTACATTGGATGATGAACGTGAAAAATTATACCAATTATTTCAAAATTATAACTTGAAAGATGTTTTTAATTGTGATGAAACTGGTAATATTGGTTTATTATTAAATAATTTGAATTATTATTAAATTATTTAACATTTAAGATTATATTGGCAACTTGAACCAAAGAAAACTCTTTCTACAAGTGCAATATCAGGAACAAAACAATCTAAAAACTGAGTAACAATTTTGTTAACTTGTAATGCAACCAGAACGGAAAAATTACAGCCATTATTCATTCACAAATATCAAAACCCCCAGGCTCTAAATGGACGTGACAAGTCAACATTACCAGTACAATATTATTGGAACCATACTGCTTGGATGCAAGTTTCTATTTGGAATGATTATCTCAAAAGATTGAATATCTGCATGCATCATCAAAAAAGAAAAATCCTCTTATTGGTCGATAATGCACCTACCCATGCTATTAAAAATTCTGACTCACTTACGAATATAAAAGTTCATTTCTTATCACCAAACACAATGGCCCATTTACAGCCTTGTGATGCAGGAATTATCAATTCTTTTAAGGTAATTTGAACTTTGAATAAGATTAATTTATATTTGTTCATTAATAAATTTTTTGTATCAGGCTCAATATCAAAGATTATTAGTCAAAAATCAGGTTGAAGCATACGATTTTGCACAAGAATTTAATTCTGATGTAATCTCACCTGTGACTATTATGGATGCTATCACTTTCATTGGTCATGTGTGGAGAGCAGTCACACAAGAAACAGTCAAAAATTGTTGGAAAAAATTTTATCTCCTTTGCACGACGTATCTGATGATTACAATACCGCTGAAACACATTTAATCTCAAATTCTGAATGCGAACATAAAGATGTTCAACGATTAATTTGTCGATTGTCATTTGATGAACCAATGGCAGCTGATGAATATGTTAGTATTGATCAGACACTAATTGATGATAATGTTGAGCTAACTGATGACGATATTGTTGCAAGTATCCGGCCACCAGAGACTAAAGACGAGTATGATTCTGATGAGAAAGAACTTCCTAGTGTTTTACCAATTAAGGTATTGGAGTCTCTGGAACATGTGCTTATTTTCTGCGAAACCCTCCAAATGACTTCAAAATCGAAGAAAAAAGTGTGTCCATGGTCAACAGTCTTAAACGGTCAATTTTTGGGTATCATTTAAAAACTAAATTGCAGGGTAATTTGGATAATTTTGTTATTCGAAACTCAAAATGAAGTTAAATTTTAATTTTGTGGCGTGGTTTGTGAATGCGTAACTTTTAATAAAATTGGGTTATAAATTTTTATATACTGATTTACCCGTGACTTTACTATAAACATCGGTTTATAACGTATACCGATATCTCGTTATACCGATATATTTGACCGAAAACATTTACATCAGTATATAGAGGTTTGACTGTAACCAGAGTTAGAATTTATTTTCTTGTTTTGCTGGATTGATCAAAAATTTGTATTCTCATTTTTAATTATATAATATTACATTATCCATTGCATCCGATTAGCAATAAATTTTTCTGTGTCTAAAGCTCTGTTCGGGTCGAGTCAGGTTTGATTCGAAAATCTTAAAATAGTTTTTAGTTAATAACATTTATTTTTACTAAGACACTTGTATTTGTTTTTAAGTAGAGTTTTTTGTAATGTAATTGTGTATATATCTACAAATTTTCGTTCAATTTGAATTAATATTAAATGAGAACTAACGATTTTATTCTGATCTGAAATATTTCGGATCGGATTTGACCTGACAGATTGGAGCAATATCTGTGTCCAATCAGAACTTGGGGAACAATATCACAAAAATCTGGTAATATTGATAATATAAATTTTATTTTTTTACTTTTTATTAATATTATAATATAGAATAATTGGTAGACTAGATTTAATAATAATAAATAATAATTTCTGCAAAAATACACAAGAATTAGAGTAACTACGTACAAATTCAATTTGTGAATATGATCAGAAAAGAACGATTCTATTACATTTGCTGATTATTAAATATATTAAAAACTATTTTGAAATAACATCTATCAAAAGGTGGTAAATTTTCAAACACAATACATTAAATAAGTTTGTTAATTGGCAGTCCACGAATGAAAAGAATTTTAATTACAAAAAAATTGTTTTTCTTAACAATTTCAAAATATACCATTCATATATATTTAGTTTACATGTTTTGAAGTTGAGCAATTATTTTAAATATATTCGGTTTTTGTTTTCAATTTGAAAATTCCAATAAAAAATTTTCTTTAAATTATACAATTATTTTGTAGTTAATTTCTTACAAAAATTTTTACAAAATATATTATTAACATATATTAAAAACGATATGTGTGTAGATTTTTATTTTCTAATTTACAATTTTTTGGGACTAAAAATTGTGGGCAAAATTGACTAATTGACATTATTTGAACATCAAATTCGTTTCGTATTTTGATACATATAAAATTTGTATTGACTAAGTGAAATTAAATCTTAAATCTCAAGGTTTTTTTTTAATAAAAATTTCACGTCATTGGTTAAAATTGAAAAAACTTTACTTCATCGAAAATGCAGATTTGTGTTCAATCCTCCTTCATTCGTGGACTGTCAATTGATAATTTACCAAAAACTATTTGCGAAAACCTAAACCAAATGCAGAATTGACCAATAATCCGTACAGCATTAATCTATTGTAATCGTTATTATTTGAAGACATAAATGACTTGCAAAACATTGCGATATCAATAATGATGTATAACTTACCATTATGCATCAGTATCAGTATTTAGCATGTCATAAGCAGGCACTTGTAATTTTTATATTTTGCATACATTCAAAGTTTTTGGATCATCTCCATTAATCTTCTCGATGATAGTTGTGATGAACTTGTGATTCTTTAATAAAAACTCGATTATCTAGTTTAATGTAAAATCTGTGATTTATAAATATATACATTTTAAAAAAATTAGCATTATCGTTATCGTTATGCACGACTATTATCAAATCCAATTCCTAAACACTAGAAATATCCAATCGATCTATTTCTAGATTTATTATTGTTAACGCTAAGAACGGAATCTTACTGAAGAAAATAATATGGTAACAGTATACTGTATTAATGACGATAAGAACAATAGTATTGTGATATTATGGTATTTATTAATAAATTTTGAAAATAGAAACTAAAACAACTAGGATTATTGTTACTGACATGACTGAACTGTTTTCTATGGCTGGACTGATTGATCCTTGGGATGGACTAGTTGTTTCTGTCAAAGAAGAATTTGTCATCCCTTTGGATTGTGATGGTATTCCTGGTGTCGCTGATGCTGCTAATAGTGATATAACTGTCGGTGGTTGTAATGTCACTGTTGGTAGTTGTAATGTCACTGTTGGTGGTGGTGATATCACTGGAGGTGGTGGTGGTGGTGATGATGCTACATTACAAGTGTCACCGTTTGTGCAAATTTCGTCCGCTCTACAGCAAGTACCATCTCCGCAATCTATAGCACAGGTATAACTACGACATAGGTTATTTCCCATGCAAATTTCGTCGTTGCGGCAACATCCACCAGTTGAACATCTGTGAAAGTTAGCATCACAATAGGGAGCCCTTGCCATCAAAATTGAGTTTTTGGTGAATTTTTCGTCAACAACACTTCGCCTAAGAAGAAATAATTCGTCTTTTCTCCAATCTAGAAGCGCTGTAGCAAAAATAAAATTGCTGAAGGTTAAAATGCTAAGAACAAGTATTAAAGTAAGATTTTTCATGATGAATTGAAGTGTTTTAATGTTTCTACTTTATGTTATCGATGTAATTATAAGTGAATTGAGTGAACAGTTGTTAATAATTGTTTGTCGCTTTATTTTTTATTTATTTTTTCTCAAGTCATAATTAATTGATTTATAAACAGACATGCCAAGAGAGCATACATGCATATTACAGATTACACTTTATATTAGCGACGTATTCATAAGTGAATAGAGTGATACAGTTGAGAAGATATTAATAATTGTTGTCACTTGCTTTTTTATTTAATCTTTCTCAAGTCTTAATTAATTATATGTAATTTAATTTAATAAATAGACAATGCGAAGAGTGCATAAAAGATTATACTTTATGTTAGCGAGGTATTTATTAATAATTTTTTCTCGTTTTATTTTTTAATTCAAGCTATAATTACATGCACACAACACTTTATGTTTATGTTAATGACATATTTTTAAGTGAATTGAGTGAGCAGTTATTAAAGTTAATGACTGCTTATCGTTATAAATACGTCGCTAACGTAAAGTACATGTATAATATTTTATGTGCATGTATGCATGCGTTTATTTATTAAATCGGTTATGTGTGCATGTATGTGTCTATTAACGTTAATACGTGATTGTTTCGCTTTATTTTTTATTTATTTATTTTTATTCGTATTTCGTGAGTAATGAAAAGAATTACCTATATAAATTCAGGGCAAACTTGTATAATAATTAATGTGGCAGATTAAAATGAAATCTAGTGGGGCATATAAAAATAAATGCCAAAATTAATACGTGCTGTTACCAGCGAACAAATTACCTCAACTACGACTTTTTGGGAAAGAATGGCTGAAACAGATTAGGATGTTGCGGTTGGGTGCAGTTGCCAAAATAACGCAATCTCCTTTTTCGATAGATTTTACAGCATAACAGCAGCATATTCCGTCACGATTGTCAACAATTCTGATATCTCCTATTTTGGTAGTTTCTACAGCATAACAATTGTAATCACGGTTGTCAATAATGCAATCGGTGGTTCTTTTACAGCATAACAGCGTATTCCCTCACGATTGACGACGATGCTGTCCATACTAGGTAAAGCTTACAGCATGACAACTCATCAACAAAACAATGAAGTTTCTTTTCGGTATATTTTACAGCAGTTGTCATCGTTTTACAGTACTCTCCAACAATCCCCAACACCTTCGGGCTACTAATAAAGACAGATTTGACATTGTGTACAATTCTTCTCCAGTAAGCCACTTGTAAAAAGAGAATTCATATTGCGAACAATTGTTTCCAAGTAAATTTAAACTTGAATTCTTGCGTACAATTATTCCCCTAAGTGAATTATTGCTTGTAAAACCCTTCCCCTTTCCCCACATAACCGTCATATTCTTTGTTGGTTAGGTCCTTTGTACCAGAAAAGGCATTGTATTTTGTGATATCATATTTTATGAAAACCGTATTTTTGTGGAATCGTATTGTGAAAACGGTTTCGTGTGATTGTAATTGTCATTGAACCTTTTAAGAGTTTAAGGCTTTTAACTAGAAAAATCAACGATCGAAACCCTTTATTTACAGGAACGTGAAGCCCCGAACACCCACCTAGAATCCATAATCACTCCCCATGGACTTATTCGACGATATCCGTAGATATCGGCATAGGCCTTAGATACCGAACGAATTCTATTCAGTCTGACACTCTCCCAAAAGTCTTGTTGCAGGTGGAAAATCGTCCAATTAGGCAAACGTACAACAATACTTGCATTATAAATCCACACTTAACCCTGTTCTATAATTGTTACCAAAAAAGATCCAAATTTTTAACCCTTTTTTATAATTACTACATGTATTTAAAAAAGATCACCAGATTTGATTTTAATCTGATTTCGTTTTAATCTGCCACAATTAACAATAACCCATAATCTGGAGCTGATTTTTGAATAATATCTAACTACAAACATGACTATTCAAATTAAATTTTATCAGCTGATTCTTGTAATTATTAACTAAATTCATTTGGATATTCATTATCCAGCTGCTTATAGAGGAGAGCCGAAATTATGACTTAGTTGGATTTTTCCAGCTCCAAACTATAGGTCATTATTAATTATCATATTAAATATGTAAATTTTTTAGATTTATTTTATGAAATTCTTCTAATTGTAAAATATTAAAAAAAATTTTTATAATTGAGTTTAATTTTAATTATAAAAAATTTTTGTAAATATTTTACAATCTGAAGAATTTTATGAAAAAAATCTATAAAAAACTCCTTTATAGAGTAAAGACTTCAATTTTCACTAGATTTACTATCAATATTTGTATATACACAGTGATTTATTATAAATTAGTATAGTATATTACTACTCAATAAAATAATTACTCAGAAATGAATCATCAAGAACAAATTATTTACACTTGTACCTGCTTTGTAAGCAGTTAAGTTATTCTTATATTATTTCAAGTAATAGAAACTATTTCAAATTGTCTTCAAAATAATTATAAAGAATCTCTCTAATCAAATAAATGAACAAAGTAATAATTAAAATCATTATTCAATAAAATAATTAGTCAAAATAAATCATTAAGAGCAGATTATTTATACTCAAATCTACCTCACAAGCAACCAAAATATTCTTATATTATTACAAATAACAGGGACTATTTTATTTAATACAAATAATTATGAATTGGATTATAACCTTCAAAACGATTATAATAAAGAACTTCTAATTAATTAAATAAATAAAGTAATATGAACACCATCCAATAAAATGATTAGTCAAAAACAAATCATTGAAACCAAATTATTTATACTTGAATTTGCCCCACAAGCAATCACATTATTTTTGTATCATTACAAGTAATAGTGACTATTCTGTTTAAACTCAATAATTAGATACAATCTTTAAAATAATTACAAAGAATTTTATCCATAAATGAATATTGCAAACACTTCCAATACTCATATATGACTCCAGAAATTACAAGCATTTTGAAGATAATAATTCGTTTGACAACACAAAGAATTATTCAACAAAAGATCTTGAAAATATTAGATGGACCATCACCTTGATGAACATCTTGAACAAAAAAATTTGACTAAGTGACCATTATCTTGGATAATTAAATGTCACACAGACATCATATAGGATAAGATTTATTCACAGAAAATCCCACCTAGTAACCATTGTGAATTGTTAAAAGAACATTATAAATTGTTACGAGGGAAATTTACAAGTTTTATTTTATTTGGAGAATAATTGTGCGCAACAATTCTGAGCTTTATTGAGGTCATAGACCTTTATTATATACATTTTTTGGAGTTTTAATAGTAGTATTATTTTTCTATGACTACCATCAAGATTAAACAAAAAGAAAATACAATTCAGAGAGGCCATAGGACACTAAAAGCATTAAGAATATAAGATATAATTAGGAGTTTTATTTAAGAGAGATTGTAACAATTAAAAGAAAATGCAAAACAAATTTAAGGTAATGTTTAAGAGAGAACGTGACATAAATAAAAGAAAATATAAGATAAAATTTTGAGAATCGTGATCAAGAGAGAATCGTGATAAAAAAAAGAAAATCATGATAACAAAAAGAGAATGCTAGATATTAGCATTGTCTAAGAGAGTATATAAGAAATAATTACTAACATTGTTTGCGTGTTAAAAAAAAAAGAATATGCGAGACATAAATAAGGGTTTTGCTTGAGAGAACATTTGACATATACATGTATAATGCGTGCCAAATCGATCCTACCAAAATTAAGTGGATTGTTAACGTTAAATGGTGTTACGAGTGTAACTTTAAATACAGGTAAATATATTTTCAGGTGATAAAAATTTAATAATACGTATATGTACATGTAAATGATTACATGTACAGTCGGCATCAAAAGTAACGCCCGATTTTTTTTTGAAGCACAATTTTAAATATATAACCGATTTATTCCAAATCTAGTTTATATACATACGAATTTTTTTTATAATTAACTAATAATTTATTGGCCCTCCCTTTGCCTCCAATACCGCTTCAATTCTTCGTGGCATTGAGTCAGCAACCTCTCTCAAAATTGATGTATCGAA